CTTAAGCATGAGCAATGCTTAGAGGCAGAAGTAGTGATTCAGTCACAATTAAGGGCCCTCACTGTGGCCCTTATAATCTGAGTGACCAGTGCTGACCTCGGCACTGTCATTTTGTCCTGTGAATCACCTCGCCTCCAGCATAAAAATAAATCCATTTTATCATAGAAACATTTCCCTTCTTTTTCTCTCTTTAACCACCTACCCATCCAGCCCCATGCAAGGGCTGCTAAGAGCTCCTCTTCCACCCACTCCCTCACAGTTGAAGCATTGTGGGGAAGCATATATAGCTCAAATTGCACTTGAGTGCCACTTGTCTCTGCTTGTTACAGCACCCATCTTTGATTCTTTCCTGCTCTGGATGGCTCTGAGCTTGCAGAAACACTGAGCTCAGAATAGAACAGCTACTTCTGCCTCAGCACTGCTATGATGCAAGGCTGAACAAAGAAAAGTGACTCGCCTGCGGTGACATACTTTGTTATCCAGCATTTTCTGTCTGCCATTTGTTAGTGAAGCTCTAGTTGCAGACCACTATCAATCTCTGTAGCTTAACTGGGTCAGTTATTTTATTGTCTGTGGAGAAGTCTAATTGTCAGGGCTGGCTGTGTTGCTGGGAGAGTTGGACCCAGAAAGCAGGACTCGAGGAGTAACAAGAGGAGTAAAGTAAAAAGGTGATTTTTATTATCGATGGGACATTGAGGCTCCGAAGCCTGTTTCGCGCTTTTTAAGCTTTTTAAGCGGCTTGTATCAAATTGTGATCATGTGACTGATAACGTTTGAGGCCTAATATGTCACAATGAAAAACTGGAAGTGAGGTGACTGATTCCAATCTTTACCACTGCTTCACTCATTACAAGGAGATGTGAGATGCGGACTAATATAAACAGTAACAGGATAACACATTTAACACTAGCACTGCCAGAAGGTTTCATTTTGACCCGGACCTGTCACATGTGCAGCAATGGCAACGACACCATTTTTTGAAGAGGTTAAGTTTGTAATGATACAACTAGTTTCACAGCTGGCTACAAAAACAAAAGAAACACATTTTAAAGCCCTTTACTTCCTCCGCACTGCTTTTCAGGCCTTCACTTTTTATTTAATGTTTAGATGCATTTTGAACCATCTGCCCAGTTCAGCTGCACAGCACAGCCAGCGATAACACACTCACCTTTGCCAAAAAGTTAATGTGTGCCAAAAATAATTTCAGATATTTCTTTGGGTTTTTATTATCTCTAATGTCTTTGCTTATGTTTCCTGTGCCTGTACTCAAACAGATGAAGGGCTTAGCTTATATAAAGGTTATGAAGAAAATGAAGTTATGAGGGGGTTCGCTTATAAAAAAATTACCTGTTTTGCAAATATTTTTATAACCCGTTATTGCACCTACTTTTCTGTTCTGCATTATAGTCAATACAGTAATTTTCGTCCATTTCAGATATTTGCATAGAACGGTTATCTTCTTCCCTCTTGCCCAGATCACTCATGAAAAAGACATTTTTCATTTTTAAAAAGAACTCAACAGGGAAAACCTACTGGGAGGGAGGACACAACCACACAGGAGAATGTGACAAAAAGCAAGGGAAGGCTGAGGCAATAGAGACACAAGATACAGGGAAGAACAGATACCAAAATAAAACGGGAAACTACTGACACTGAGATACAGACTAAGTTACGACAGCAGAGAGTAATCACAGGAACAAGCTTTAAGCACAAGATTAATAGAGGCTACTACACCAGGCAAGACTCCAAGTTCAGGTTGTGCAGGTATGCCCCTGAGACAATCCAGCACATAAAAACAAGGTGCAAGATGCTAGCAGGGAGTTACATGGAACTAAGTGACTAGCATAGTACAGGAACATCTCTGCCAAATATGGCCCACGGACTAACCTCTCGGGTGTTTGAGAATGACCGAGCCAAAATCCTGAGGGACTTCCAGATACAGACAGAAAACCTGCTAATGGTTAAACAACAGGATGTAGTGTTGGTGGACAAGCAGAGGACGAAGGCCGTAGCGACAGTTAGGTGATAGCAACATAAGGAAAAATGAACATTAGAAGAAACTGCAGGGGCTTAGAGAATACCTAGAGAAGATGTGGAATTTGAAGGCAACGGTGGTCCCTGTGGTACAAATCCAACCTGAAGGGCATATTTACTGTCAACATTTAATATTATCCCTTCAATTTCCAGCTTCAAACTCATGAGCCTTTTGGACACTCTCGTCACAATCCTGTTTATATCCTCTTTCTTCTACCAACACCATGGTAGAACAGCTTGAATCTGCCTCCAGTGCTCCTGGCCTTACCTCCCGTTTATCTGGTTTTACACAGTATATTTAGTTTTCTTCTCTCCATCATGTAAGCCAACCCTTTCCCTTTATCATAGTCATAGTTCCTATCATCAGGGACTTTAAATGTCCTTTCCCACTTAAGAAACCTTCCTCTTCCTTTGTCTTCAGCCAGTGGTGGCACAGTTTCCACTGGCTGTTTTCCACTGGATCCTAATGGGAATATTAGCATGCTTGAAATAGTGTCCTTTCTCCTTTGGGCATTGATGTACTGCCCTGTTGACCTGGTCTCCTGCATGTCTATGAAAGTTTATAGAGAGGGTAAAAGGTCTTAGCGTTTGATCTTTTTAAGGGTCCACTGTGTTGCACAGCATACACTATATGGTTTAGGTTGTGCTTTGTCCTGGAGAGGAACGGGTTTCATCTGAGGGCTTTGCTGGTTCTGAACTTCACTGGGACGCTTGGAGAAAATTCTCGAGTTTATCTTATAAAGTTATCAGATAAGGGAAAACAAAGTTGTTCCTTTTGCCTCCCTGGTTAATTACTTTTTCTATCAGAAACTAAAGTTTCTGAAAACATATTCTTTTTTTGCTTTAAGAATACTTAATTACTCATCTAGTCAAGTTGAAAAACTGTCGAAGAAGTAGGCGTATACTGTCAGTCTACAAGCAAGAGAACAGCTCCATGAATAGTTGATTGAAGGTAGTAGCATTTTTAGGACTAGCAGAACATTGCAAGCCATGAAACACCATATAACAGACAGACTGAAGCACCCATGGCTTACCTGTTATCGCACCTGAAAGAGACTAAAAGATCTTAACATCCAACCTTGTTGTTAAAAGTGGTACAGAGTGCTAAAACAGAGTGCAGCATGTGCAAACACCAAGAAGCCACTAATCTAAAAGAATGTCTGACTTTAAAGTTATGATTTAATAAAATAAATTGCATTGATTATATTCTGATCAGCAGACACGGAGTTCTGAAGAGAAAGGGTCGAAGAAAGCATTTCTGTGTAACTGGATTAAAACCAAATTATGTGGACATGGATGTTCATGTAAGAATGAAGTGAGGACAAATCTGAAGATAAACTGCATGAGCTGAATGAAACATTAAGTGTATTCATATGTGATAGATTCTGTTCATCTGGACGTCTGGAGTTTCATCACTTATCGAAGTGACTCCTTCTTCTTGGTGTTCGCTCTGTGTTGTAGCGTCCTGATGACGCCCAGTTTGTGCTCCAGTGGATGATGAGAGTCAGACAAATGGAGCGCCCGGTCGGTCCAATCTGAAGTAAAGTCTGGGTTCAGGCAAAGGACGATGCCTGTTAGTTCCTGATGACTGAAAGTGATCAGTGCGTTGCAGGAGGATGCAACGAAAAGGCAGAAGAAACATAAAAAGTGCACAGTAGTTTGGAGCTGCAGGGACTTTGAATTCAGCTCAGTTTTATATAAAGTTATATTGTTTATGATGGTTTGTTTTGTAATGTTTATGTTTCCAAATCACAACAACAGTTGCTTCCCAGTGTTTCTCCTTCACTCACCCCTTCATGTTTATATATCACTTTGAATGGAATCATTAGCTATTGTAAATCTGTATTATGAATCTCTGCTGTCTACGTCTCCTCAGCTCCATCAGTCAGAGCAGATGGCTGCCTGGTTCTTCCTGTTAAGAGAGTTCATTGGTAACATTAAGTTCATGTAGACATGTAGTCCCATGTATACAGTTTTTAGTTGTGTAGGGGCCCCAGTAGCAAAAAGTAGCAAAAATATATTGAATAAAATAGTAATAATGCAAACTTTTGTCTGTATTTGTGTTGTTGGTGCTCAGCCACTGAAAATACATGACTCAGAAAATACAAAAGATTTCATTGTAGTGAAGATAAACAGAGTGTTAAAACAAGGAAAACTGGCCATAAAAGCCATTATTTGTCCTTCATGTACATGCATGTTTTGTTCTTTAATGTTTTTGCTTCCATATTTGGTCTTGTCCCGTTTCCTGCTCAAACATATACATAGTTTAACCTCCATCAGACCAAGCGCTGTTGAAATATTCAAACAGCATCATGTTATTGTGTCTTTCACCTGCACACTGTGTATGAGAAGCTTGCCCTGTTTGCAAATGTGTTGTTCAGTTATACAAACTGTGTTCTTCCCCATGGAGTTTGAACTTCTTGTAGGTCTTATAAAAGTGAACATTTAAATCCATTTTTTGGATCCATTTTTCTCCGTCTCTGGTCTCAGCTCCTGTCAGTTGTCGGTGTGTTATAATGTCACCAAACAAAAGCTCATCTTGAACAGTCTGAACTTCTTCAACTGATGCTTCAAGGTCTCATTTGTCCTCTATCTGTCACTTTTTGCATAATCTACAGTAAAACAAACAAACAACAAAAAGCTAACAGTATGGCATTGTTTACATGCAAATCAAATAGCTGATTAGTCAATTATCAATTTTCTTTCGTCTTACTTGACTCCAAATGTTTTCAGAGATGTCAAATTCCTTAAAATGTATTTTTCCGGTGACTAGTGGAATTGGACGGGGGAAATAAGAGCATACGGAGCCCTGATTAATCAGAGGCCAAACTTCTCTGCAATAAAATATTACATTCAGGGTCGCTGTTTATTGAGCGTCAAAATAACATGAAATAACACATGTGAGGGTATAAAGTCTGCTGTTGCACGTTAATGGAATCTGCAACGTCACTGTCCTTGTAATACAGGTGCTAAAAGGATGCAAGACGCTGAACATGTCTGTGTGCTCCATGGGACCGACTCCTGGCGGCTACATCACCAACAATCTGTACAGCTGGGTGGACCCGCAGGGCCGGAGTGTCTCCCCGCCACCTGATAGCCAGGAAGACAGTCAAAGGCACGGGCACAGGATGGAAGAGCGAACGGTAAGAACAAAGTGGAATTGTGTATTGGCGGTGAAATATGGAGGACCAGCAGATTGAAGTATACAAACACTTGAGACTGTTGTACTGGAAACAAAGATGTTGCGAGAGTTCTTTTAAAGCAGCTGTCAGATTCAGAACTATTTATTATCAAGGATTTATTACCAGGTTTTTGCAGTTGTCCTCCTCCTGCGTCTGACAGCAGTCAGCTTGGGGCTGCAGTATATTCCTCTAAGGTCCTCATGACCTTTGCTGCCGACATTTTGAAAGACAGACTCATCCTAAAATAAAATCACCCAGCACAGGCCTTTCATCCAGTGACTGCTGGCAAAGAAAAGGTTTGCTCAAAATGACTCACCAAAAAATCAATCCTGTTACTTTGCATTGTAACTCTAAATTGTCATTTGCTGTTCCCATAGTAGACCAAATTTGAGAGGATGTCACTTTTATATGAGTGTAATTATGTGCAAAGTCTGGAAAGAAAACCAGTGAAATTACTGAAAGATGTTAAATGTTTGTCAAAGCTCTCACTTATAGAGAACACCATTGTTGAAGATGCTTTCTCGGGGAAAACAGACATTCATGTTTGAAAGTCTTTAAACTGAATCTTTCAGAACTCTTGTCTCTGCCGTCACGCAGTGTCTTCAGGTCTACACACATGCAGGCAACATGTGGGTGATGACGGGCATGTTTGCAGAAGTAGCACTGAAAATCAACTACATATAGACAAATTATGGTAAATGGCCTGTATCTGTGTAGCGCTTTACTAGTCCCTAAGGACCCCAAAGCGCTTTACACGTTCAGTCATCCACACATTCACACACACATTCACACACTGGCATACTTTATCCAAAAGTTCATCAATCAGTATAAATATAAGAAAACATAATAAATGAAAGGAGAAATAAATTACTTTATGTTGTTCACTTCATACTATGAGTAAAGATGTACATACTTGGACTAACCTTGGCTTACATGATATTCCAAGTCTTACATTGGAGCCACAGAGTCACAAAGTTCAAATGTTGCTATTTTAAAGCATCCAGCCTGCAGCAGAGAGTGAAAGACGATCTCGTGTCTGAATTCAAAACAAATCTAAAGATGTATTGAGAGCACAAAGTAAACTCATCAGGTGAGTGTTTTCACAGTCAAGTTACTCATCCTGGTAATATGTGTAAGAACAACCTGTACTGTCACCAACTGTATTTATCCTGCAACATTACATTTATTACATGTAGAGGAGCAGGACTTGTGGGTGATGGGAGTCCTCTCAGGGCTGACGTGCCTGAAACGCTTCAGCAGAAGAACTGAAGTTGTGAGGATCAGTAGATATCCAAGGCTGGATTTTTCTCAGCTATACGGTCTAGCTCTAAGTCAGCTGGGATAGGCTCCAGTGCCCCCAGTGCCACCCTGAAAAGGATAACTGGAGGTGGATGGATTGATAAGGTGGAGGTCCATATTGCCTGGCAAGAAAATTTGTCAAGAAAGTTGCTTTGACAGCAGGCTGTCTACAGTCCTACTGATCATCAGAGACCAGCTCAAAATGGACAGGTTTCAGATTATGGTCTGTTTCCTTTTGATGAAGACCCTAGAAAAGGCCTTCGGTTGGAGTCTGGAAGGATCCTGGACTATTACATTCTCCACAATGGGAATTATTCGTGAATACAAGAAATGCAGAGACCACAGAAAATTAAAATGCTGGATGGAGCTTTTAACACCATCATGGTGAAAGACAGTAGAAGAGCTGTTTGTGATCATTTTGCTCCAACCTCATGAGTGAGTGCACGCAGTGTCCTCACGAAGTGCAAGAGTGCACCTGCCACAGAAGCGAATCACGGCCCAAACACCAACTCATACCAGTGTGATGAAAAAGCTGCACTGCATTGGACAAACACTGGAAATGGACTCTTGGTGATGTAAGAGGCATCAGTAGAATTCAAACCTTTCAGAGAGTATCTGTCATTCAGTTTTCTTTGGTTTAAATCAGTGAGGATGAATAGAAATCACCTTCACATAGGGCTGTTTGATATAACGATATATATCTGGTGACGATATAAAAACATCTGTCGTTTCATTTTACGCTATCGTTTGTTTCGTGGTGTCGCAAAATAAACTGTTTACAGCAATATTTGTTCATGTTCTGATGTCACTGTAGTGGCTGTATTCATTTCTTAAAGTTCTCTCTTTGTCTTATATTTAATATAACCACATTACAGACGGACAAGCGCCTGTTTTTATGCGTTGTCGTTAGCAACAACGACGGTAACACTATCGCGTGTCCGCTTGTTTATGTTCCACATAAACCTTTCACAATAAAGCTCAAGATCCTGTTGAGACTTTTCAAAATAGTCACTTGGATGAGTGACGAAACGTTTCTCCCACAAAACGCTACGTCCAGATGAACAGAATCAACTTTTGGAGATTTACTTTCCTGGATGATTGCACGTGCATCAAGACTTTTCAAAATAAACTGAATCACATGAAAGATTATTTACGGATGAGAAGTAAAAAAGAGTAAAAAAGAGCCGCCAGGTGCTAAAAAATAAACCTTAGACTCAAACGTGAGAACAGGCTTTTCCCCGCAGCACGCCGTGCAATAAATACGGCTTATGTCTAAAAATGTATAGTTTCATGCATCGGTTAAAACACTCGACTCCAGCTACACGACGCGCAGCTGGAAACACTTCAGGCAAGTCGAGCTGCCCGAGATTCACAGAATTTACAGGAAATGTTACATTTTTGTGATTTATATCGGGATATGAGATTTTGGTCATATTGCACAGCCCTACCTTCACTGTTACTATGTAAGTAATTCAAATCAACACGTTGATATTCTTAAATAAAGTTGCTGGGGCAAAATATCAGTCACAAATCTCAAACGTTTCTCTTCCCATCTTCATTTTTCCTCCATGGATAGATGACTCAAATAGTTTTGGATCAACACGGGTGCAAAAAAGAAAAAAGCAACTCTTTTTGTCCTGTAGTACTACAGACTGTCCAGTATTGGCGTCTTTATGGAGTAATCTTTTGCCCTCCAGCAGCAGTATTAATAGTAGCAGGAAGCACAGCAGTGCAGTGTGGCTGTGAGCTTTTTGTCACAAGTTTTGATGTTCAATTTGACCTGTTCAGCCTTTATACTAGAGATGGCACCATACCACTTTTTTATGTTTGATACCGATACTGTATATCAGATTGGTCCATCTCTACTATAACCCCACTGTCAGCTTGCATGGTCTCCCTTCCTTAGTGGCAGACTGTTGTATTGGGTGGTCTTTATGGTCTCTAAAATTATATTGGTTTGCAGAATAAACTGATCACTTACTATATGCCCAACCATTGTAATCTGAACACCGAATGAAAACAAAATCTAATACATAGACAAGACAGTTCACTCAGTGAATAGTTTGCTATTAGAGTAGACACAGATGAGTATGCAGACCAGGGGCTGTTTGTCCACCTCAAGTCACTGAGTTTCAGAGCTTCTGCTTCTCTGATGGAAGGATATTCAGATCAGTGTCTTTCCAGAAATAATGTTTAAATCCACTTTGGTTAACTGACTGAAATGAGATCAACTAGTTAAAAAAACAACAACAACATTTTCTAATGGATGGGTTGTAATGTATTACAAGTTAATTTGGTTATTGTGTCGTTAATGTCAATGTGTTCACAGTTGCTACTTAGTTAAATCAGAGACACTCTCACAGTGCAGCATTTCAATTCCTGAATGAATCATTAATGGACTGCAAGGCTCCAAATCTTGTCACAACTATCTCACTTACCTACCTGTGATTGGCTGAGGGCATACAGCGGGTAGGCTAGTGTGTGTGTGTGTGTGTGTGTGTGTGTGTGTGTGTGTGTGGCCTGTGGAATTCAAATAGAGACCCATTGCTGCATCATGTTGCACATATATGAAATCTATGAATGATGTTTTGATTTAATGATTACTGGTTTAAACATTGTAACAAGTGTGAAAGATGAACGGACTGGCATTTAAATAAAGCTTTTCTACCTGAGCACTCAAACTATCCACTGCCAGTAAATCAGGTATCTCACCAGCAGGGGGCAAAATGGAGGAAAGATAATGTCATCTGAATTATTTAATATAGTTTTAGCTTGTATTGAAATGATGGGTGGGAAAGTTGTTGTTTCTAATATTGCAGAGTCTGTACAACATTACGTGCTTGGAGGTGACTGCTGTGAATTGGTGCTATATATATTTTGCTAAAATAAAAGAACACTTTTTAATCAAAGTAAAGCATGAAGTGAATTAAACTTCCAGGATGGTGACCCAGTCAGATCAGTAGCAGAGGGAACTGTTCACCAGTTTCAGCTGCTTTGGAGTTAATGAAATTAACAACAGGTGCACTACAGAGGCAACAGTGATACAACCTCAAAACCTGAAATAGTTTTGCAGGTTGCAGCCACTGACACTTTACCCACCTTTCTCTTTTCGGACTCTTTTTTTCGTGCTTGGTTAGGGTCAGTGTCCCTACTCCTAGTATGAGGTGATACCTGAACCCTACTGAACCTAAACCGTCCTTGTGCAAGGAACAACAGCATGAGCATCGCCACAGCCCTGCAGGATGACCTCTCGCAGGCCACTGGTGTGAATAACTCTTACCAATCAGAAACAGAATCCATGGTAAATGATAATTGGACTGATTCTTTTATAGCGCTTTTCTACTCTCCCGGAGTACTCAAAGCACTCTATACAACATGCCTGGTTCCCATCAGTCCAGTGAACAAATCCTTACTTTTAGCCAAATAAAGATCTTAACTCTGCGATTACTGTTTGGGTTTTGTCTGCCTTTGAGTCCTCCATTCAGCTTTGATGGCCACGGCTCATAAAGGCTGACCACAGCTGTTCATGTGTTGATTCCAAGGAAAGAACGTTTCTTTAAACTCTGTTTATTATTCTGACTATTCTGCCTCCAAACTTTTCTTCTGTAAGTCTTTGTTTACTAACAACACAGATTGATCTGAATATCCTGTCTTTCCTAAAGGTGAACCTGAACATGGAAGGAGGTCGATCTCTGGGTCTAATGATCAGGGGTGGTGCTGAGTATGGACTGGGCATATACATTACTGGGGTGGACCCTGGATCTGCTGCAGACATTGGTGGACTAAAGGTAGCCTGTCTCATCTGTCCTTCAGAGCATTGCTGTATTACACCACAACACAATACAAACCCACACTGCACTCCCACTACTGCAGGTATATACAAATCAAGTGCCGAGCCTTTCAGTCTGCTTTACAAACATCTGTGAAAGAGTTTAGTGAATGTGATGCAGTAAGATGGTGTCTGTAAACTCCCTCTGTAAGCAGTGGGATCAGTATCATCTCTGAATGTTATGTTAGTGGTAACTGTTCATTCACTGCTGGGCCCGCGTCCTCATTTGAGGAGCTTGTAGAACTGGGGGAACATGTATAGATGAGAACCGAAAGGAGCATGTTTGGAGGCGTGGTCCCGCTCCTGAGATTCGGGTCCTTTATCTTCAAATATGTGAGCTACAGAAATGTGCCAGAATTTGTTGGTAGTTAAAGCAGCAAGCCGTCTGCCCCTTTCCTTACCTACTCTTTCTACTCCACTTTCTACTCCTTAGAAATTATACACTAAATATCA